AAACTGACCTAATTTTCAGTGTAGAAAGACAGTGTTAGGTCGACAAAAGAGTTCCTAGTAACCGCCTCTCGGGGAGGTGGCTCACCTGCACCAATGGGAGAATTCCTGCCATCAGCATATTCAGCACTGAGACCTGCAGCAGTGCGGCAGGGCTGATGTAGAGTTTGAAGAATTGATGAGCCATAATTTAATTTTTCCTCACATTTCTAAATGCGTATAACTTCTCCTAATGAGCAAATGGAGACGGACACTATAAAAAGCGCTGGCCAGCTGCTTGCATTCAGCTGTTACCATGAATCAAAGATTTAGCGAGAACTCTACACATATAGATGCAAAAGCTTTACGGAAGAGATTCCTTGACCCCACCAGCACAAGAGAAATAGAATGAAAGGTCGAGGTCTTGGCTGGGACCAGCAGGATTCGGGAAGCTGCGTTTGCCTGGAGGGAAGCCGCCCATCTCATTTCACAAGGCAAACAGACAGCAACAAATGCCAAGAGAGCAGAGCAGCTCCTCTCTCCAAGGGGCCACAGGATGCAGAATCTGCTTATGGGAGCATCATCTGCAGTGGCATGCCACTCAGGACTGAGTGTCTGCATCCATTGTCACACTAAGGGGAGGAATGGGCTGGACAGGCTAAAAGAGCCGTACAAATACCAGAAAGCTAGCGGAGCAGGTCAGAGAGGTCTTTTCACCTGTGTTGAGAGGAACAGAACGGGAACAGGCAGTCAAGGTGGATTAGAGGGAAAGTGTCTGTCTCCCTCTGGTGGCAAGAGGGCTCCTATGCCCTCCTCCATCAGTAGAGAAAGCAACATGGCAACTGACACACAAACCGACACCCACCACGAGGCTGCACATGCTCAGCATGGTGCTGTCCTGTTCTCAGGGCATGGGGTAAGTTAAGGAATGGGGTTCGGTTTGGTTGCTTCTAGCTGGTCAGGGAAGCAAAAGTCTCTGGACTTTGGGAACCAAGTCCAGATTAAGTGTGCTTGTCTGGACTTCACTTACCATCATCATCCCGGCTGCGTGATTGTGTCCTGGTGCTGCTGTAGGGTGGTGATGTTCCAAGGTCGGATGATGGTGCTCAGAGGTGGGTACCATGGAGCTGTTCATCATGTGGCCTGCCTGGTGGTCGTGAGACATCTTTACTGCAGAGTTGGCAGTGGTGGCACTCAGGACAGTGGGAGCCTTGAAGCAAGATGGAATAACGGGTGTTAGGGCACGAGTCACAAAACACCGACAGATGGCTCTTTCCATTATCTACAAAGAAAAAGTCAGGCCTCCAATTTGCCAGGCCTGAGAAGTACTGTCCTAGAGATGTGGCTCCTAGCCTGGAGCCACCATAATCTCTCAAGTCCCCTACACAGAGCTCACTGTATCTCTGTTTCCATTAGGTTAATGTCTTCAGTATGTTTGCAACTCTCCAGCGGGTGACAGACACACCCGGTCGTTCCCCTGAAGAGCCTACAATCCAATTGAGATGACATGCAGCAGCAAAGAAAGGATAATTTTTAATTTGTTAAGTGAAAAAGTCTCTAAATGCCAGACACTGAACAGGCAAAGGCTGACTTGTGTTGTTTCAAATCTAACTGCCCCCAGGACCCACTTTAATTGCATCTATCGAAGGCTCAGACTCATGCTAATTCTCTTAATCAGCAGCCATGCATTTAATTGGGTCCAAAAATCACATTAGTTTGGGACAAGAGCTACTGCGGATGGAAAGGTCTGGAGCAGCCCCAGGCAAGCCAGTCTCATTTCCACAACTACAGTAGCTACTTTAGACAGATGAAACAGAATGAAGGCAGCAAGTCCAAACCCATATAATCTGCTTACTGCAAAGCACAAGGGCCTGGCCAATCTCTTTAGAACGAAGCGGAGCAAGTAAGTGGCTAATGGTGGTCAGGGTTTACCCTCCCAGGTGTGAGGGGCTGCTTTCAAAATCCCCCGAAGAGTAGAAGAGCAAAGGCAGAAAGGGAGGAAGGGTCCAGAGGATCTGGAGAGGCAAAGGACACAGGGGAGCTGGGGTGTAATTTGTTTGCACTCCTGCAAAGGCCCCTATCCAACACTGAGGTGAATGGTACAGCTGCTAATGTAATCTACTGGGCAGGGGCGGGGGGGCTCTGCCTCAGTCCCCTCGGCGGTTTACTGCTCAAACTCAGGCTCTGGCATGAGGAGAGCAGAGGCCACCAGGCACAATTAGAATGTGAGGCAATTAAGAGACTACTAAGCAAATAGCAAAAGAAAGTCACTACTGGGCCCTCGAGGTCTTGGAGCATCACAGGTGGGCTGGGTGTGTGTTGCTCACCAGCGGAAGGAGCATCAGAAGGAGGTAACTGGATGGAGCGGGGTGTAGTTCTGTGGTGCCTTCTGGGGGAAGGGAGTGGGGTCTGTTTGAAGTATGTGTGGGTCAATACTGCCCTTGGTGGTGGTCACACAAAGGCTCCCCACCTAGTGCCTAAGGAACAAGGACCGTTCTCTGTCTCACCCGTGCCCCTAAGATCTCAACACTGTTTGTCAAGTATAAGACGCCATTCTAAAGCCAGGTACTGATGTAAGGGGATAAGACAGTTCAAGCCGTTGTGGAAAGTGAATTAATAGTTGGAAAAATCATTTAAAACTAAAAGTCACCCCCCAGGAGAACAGGACGTTCACTCCCCCCACTCCGCCTGGGAACAGATGGCTTGGGGCAGTAGTGGGTTTGTGGGTCTACAGCAAGGGCAATCCAGAGCAACAAGCTGGCTGGCAGGCGAGGAGCTGGGTTCCCCGCAAGGGGCGCAGAGGTTACCAGGTCAGAGTCTAAGTGGGGCGAGACACTAGCTCTTATTAAGGCCAAAGCTTGAAATGGGTTCAGTCGGGAGCGCTCAGCCGGCAGTAAGCAGCAGGTATTTTTATACACTGCTGCTTGCTCTAGTGCTCATCACTGCGTTCAGGGAAGGGGTAAAATTCCACAGTGACTCCTGAGACCTGGACAGGTTCACAGGTCTGCACAGTGCTTCTAGCACACGGGCACATAGCAGGTTCGACTGCATCCTCAACGGTGCCTGGCTGGCTGAGGAAGAAAAAGAGGAAGGGCAGAATATGTGATAAGGGGTAAATTTCATCAGCATCTCGTTTCCTGCCCCCTTCACAGCAGAGGGTAGTTCCGGGTCAATGCCCTGCGTTGGGAGGCCCATCAAGACATTAAGAGAAACAGAGCAAACTGGGACTTACGCACAGGACTAGGAGCTAGGAGCCAGATCCCAAGTTCTAATCCCAACTCTGGACATCAACTCCCTCGATCCCTTTGGGCCAGACTCCCCGCCTCCGTCCCCACCCATCCATGAGCAGAACTGATCCATGGGCCAATCAAACTCTGCAGATGCAGGTGGAGTTGCTGGCACTCAAACAGCTAGAACGTAGCAAAGTCTCACTGGGAATCCTGGAGAGGCCACCTCTCACCTTGCTCACAGAAGGCACAAGACAAGCGTAGTTGTACCAGCTTCCAGGAGGATCTAGAAAGACCAGGTAAGAACGAGGTGCCTTGAGGAGGCAACGTGCTGTGTAAATGCTTTTCCCTGAACAGCCAGGCCCTGCTCAGATCTCTCTGGGCTAAGCTCTCGGGTGGCAGCCCATCCTTCACACACGCCAGAGACTCTACTGTGCACACAAAGTTTAGACTGCGGGAAGGATTCGGACAAAGGCTGACGAGGAAGCGAGTATTCAGCCTGGTCTAAGGGCCTGTCTACACGTGTGTGCTAGATGGGGGACTGCAGCCCATGGAGACGCACTAGCTGGGCTGAAGCGAGCTGAAAGGACCAAGAGCAGACAGCCCAGGCCAGCCCCCTAGGATCTTACATCCCACTGCTACTGGTCCCACAGCTACACTGGGTATGTCTACCTCCAGCTGCAGCAGACAAACCCTAAGCCTCCGAGTGTGCAATGAGCTCCTCTTGCCAAGGCAGACATCTCAGTGGAATCCGCTACACTGAGCCCCCTTTGAAATTAATCCCCACAGAGGTAGCCATGAGGGAGAACCAGACAAATCCTCTCCCATCGCACTTGAACATGCCCCCCACAACAGAGCTGTACAGCTTTTCACACTAGCTAGTCAAAGGAATAAAAGCCATCCATCTCCATGGCTACTGCACAGAAGAACGGGCCCTCGCACAACACCTATCAGGTTTCTATTGTACAAAGATTATTTACTCTACTAGTGTTGGTCAGAGATCAATACACAATTAGCCATGTTGGAAGGCGGCGTAGTTATCAATCAGTCCCAGATTTGGATGACTACTGCCTGGTGAATGGGTCTCCTGATGGAGTTGATTTAGTAGCCAAGGCAGAGTTTAGAGTTTCACAAACAAAAGCCAGCTAATCCCCACATTCCCCAGAGCAGGCAGGCAAAGTTTCAGGATTCAAAGCTTATGCCAAACTACGATGAAAGCCCTGAAAGCAAACCTAGAGAAACTAAATTGTCCACAAGAGCAAAAGACACCAATTCTGTGCCATTCCCGAGCCATGAACCTACCAGTCCTGCCTGCTGCTAGAAATTGATACATACAAGAAATATATGGCAATCAGCAACAGTCTACTTACAGCAGTCCAGCTGGCAGCCAGCAATTCCCAACCTTCCCGACCGGCTATGAGCAGCTACCCTGGAGCACAGAGCTTTCAAAGGAAAACACTCCAGCCAGAGGAGGGCGGGGAGCAGAGTCCACAGACACTGCTGTACTGTTCACACTCAACCTGTGGTCTGCAGGGAGTGATCAGAGCTAGTCATCATAAGACCAGAGCGCTGCTGCTGGTTTATTCCATTTCCTGACACCCGTGCCAGCTTCAACTGCTTCCTCTCCAAAATAAAAGCCTACCTCCTGGGTGTCACTTCACCCCAGGGACAGCTGAAGGGTACACTCCAAAGCAGACGGCACAGTCCACCTGTTTGCATTTCAAGAGCTGGATTTCTTGGCTTTCCAGCAGAGCAACGGCGGCTCATTCTGGGCCTACACTCTGTGCAGCACGTTTCAAGCCAGGATCACAGTGGCTGTACAAAGTGCAGGATGGAGAATGTAAAAGGCCCCCCCGATCCCTGTCGGGAGGCATGGGGCACGCTGCGTCTTTGGGTTTCAAAGGAGGAGAGGGCAGCTCTGGTGACAGTTTAGCAGGGAGATGCCAGAGACAGAGCGAAAGAGGGGCAGGGTTAGGGTTAGAGGAGCAGAGGAGAGCAGGGGTGCAGCCATGACACTGCTGTGCTGAGCTGTGAAAGAGGCTGCATGCTTGGATGTGATCTAAAAAGGAGGGTGGAAGCCAGCAAAGGGACTGGAGAAGGAGAGGCCAGGTCAGATTAGCGTGGGAGGATGAGGAGCAAACGGGCAAGCTGCACATACCAGCACCAGAACTGGGGACTTCGGGTTTTAAAGAAAAACCCAAAGAATTCAAAGCCCTGTGATTAGTTCAGACAGATTTCCAGAGGCCTCTGAAAACTCAGCCTAGGAGCATTATCACCCAGAGCCAGCATACTTGCTACAGGCCCAAAGGCCCTGCCTCCTCTCGTTGCCCAGGGCCACGGGGCCTACGACAGCCCAGTCTGAGGCATTTTTCATTAGCCCCCTCTGAAACACTCCAAACAGAGGCTGTAGGCACTGGTCTCCTGAGAAAGAGGGAGCAGATTCCCATTTGTGCACTGGAGAAGAGGGGGAAGGATTAGGGATTTGGAGGAAATATTAGACCAGATTCCAATACACAGGTGCACGAGTTAAGTCTGAAGCTGACTGCAAAGAGTTACAAAGGGATCTCACAAAACTGGGGGATTGGGCAACACAAGGGCAGATGGAACTGAGTGCCATTAGGGATGTTAGTGAGTAGTCTACCCAATAAGCATAAGTTTATCGGGTAGTCGACTGGAACATTAACTACTCACTCCCCTCAGACCTCCAGCTGCCTCTATGAGAGGCAGGGGTGGGGTGGGGTAACAACGGGAGCTGGTTCTGGGGGAAGCCAGCTTAAAAGCTGCCCCCCCCGGATGCGAAGGACTAGTCGACTATCCGATAAGCAAAAGCTTATCGGATTGACCAGTCGATTAGTTGATTCCTCCCCCTTGTTGCCTCTCAGACTCCCCAGCTGACCCTAGGCTATGTGTGGCATTTCGAAGCAGCAGCGCCGCATGGAGCCGGGGTCAGCAGGGGACTCTGAGTCCCCTGCTGGCCCCAGGC